AGTGCATAATGTCCTCGCAGCCCTGTGCATAACGTCCTTGTATTGCTGTCCAGTGCTTAAAGACCTCGCTGCCCAGTGCTTAAAGACCTCGCTGTCCAGTGCTTAACGTCCTCACTGTCCAGTCCTTAATGTCCTCGTACAACAAGGCCGTTTGAAGATATAGCAATTTTTCTCAACTTTGTTTATTTTGTAATATTCTGAATAAATTATAAATTCAGAATTTTATTTATTTTTATTACCAGGGCCGTTCATCTTCCCCGTCCATTGTAATCCGTACAAAAATTGTAACAATCTTAAGGTAGTAGTCATATCCGTGCGCAATGGCGGGTATGGACGGATTCGGTTTAGACGCTCACACCGGAAACGGGAGTAGTTCTGAGACTCCGGTTGTGAACGTTTCGGCTGGATTGGGTGGCTCTGTTGGGCAGACCACTCCGATCAACATTCCTTTCGGATCGAGTGCGGCCATGGGGTCCACTCCGATCACCACATTCGTTGGATCGAGCGCGACTATGGGGTCCGCTCCGGTTACCTCGGTTATTGGACCAACCGCGGCTACAGTCGCAATGGTCACCCCACTCGGACCGAATATGGCTTCGACCATACCGGTCATTCCTTCACTTGGACCGAACACGGGTGTCTTCACATCCGCACCGGTCAGACATCTTACTGTTATGCTGCCTGCGAACTCTGTCAAAGAACCGGCAAAGTTCACAGGTGTTGGTTTTAAAATATGGCAGCAAAGGATGTTATTTTGGCTGACCACCCTTAACCTTGCGAGGTACTTGAGGGAGGATCCCTCTATTGTGGGGAGAACGCGGATGGGCCAACAGTACAGGCGAATTTGGTAGAGCATCCACTCAAAGAGGATTTTTCCAAAGGGCCCAAGTGAAACAAGGACAAGAAGAAAATTGGTCCTAAAAGAGGCTATTTTATCTAGCAATTGTTTGTTAAATAAAATACCCCGAAAGAAACTCGTTAAGACTCCTTACGAGTTGTGGTATAATAGGAAACCTTCCTATAAATACTTGAAAGTGTGGGGGTGCCTTGCAAAAGTTTTCGCACCACCACAAAAGAAAATAAAGATTGGTCCAAAGACCGTTGATGGAATCTTTATAGGCTCCAGTGGTAGCACGTATCGATTCTTAGTGTATAGGTTTGATGATTCAGAAATACATAAGAACACGTGCAAAGAGTAATATGTATAATGGTAAGTCTAGACATATTCGTCGTAGACACAAAACCATTAGACAACTTCTCACAACTGGGATTATCACGATTGACTATGTGAAGTCAAAATATAATCTGGCGGATCCGCTAACCAAAGGGTTAACAAATGAGTTGCATGAGAAGTTGGTGGCAGGAATGGGTTTGAAGCCCTTGTGCTAGGACAGTCCTATGAAGGAAAACCCAACCTGGCTGGTACCCAGGTTCAATGGGACAACCTACTTGTAGGATAAAGCGTGGTCACTGTGGGGGCGGTACCGGAATCTTCGGTCAGTCCCTTCTGTTCCTGCTAAAGACAGTGACTCCCGAAAATGATGAGGTTAGCATATAAATATGCTTTAATGATTCTTAACCAATAGACACGGTGGTCTAAGGGGAGTAATCGGGATACTCTTAAAGAATCACCTATGTAAGAGTGAAGTGTGGTCGCTTCAAACGGAGGATCTTGGGCTTAATCCTCTAAACACTCTCGCAGAACCAGGCGCGTGTCCCACGACCAAAATGGGCACAACCATGAGAACAGAACGGCGTTTGGTTG